GGGCTATTACGCCTTGAAGACGATTTACGCAAACTCGACGCGCACCGTGCACCTTCCTGCCTTTCTCCTACCACTCATCAGGTCCTGGATAGATGTAGAAAAATCATCGGATTTGCTGGCATAAAAATCATGAGTTCAGTGGAAAGAAGTTGCGCTAGGGATAACAAGCGCCATAATGGATGGAACTCACCATTTGCGCCGTAACGATGCATGGAAGCATACATATAGTCTGAAGCCTATCTTGACAGTATAAGGAACATCGAAAGAAGAGCAAAAAATTGCTTCATACCGCCGAATGGCAGGAGTCCAGGACCCCGAGACCTCCGGGCTATTAGGCGTTGAAAACAATCCTACACAAACCCGATGCGCACCGTGCGCCTTCCTGCCTTATTTCTAGTATCCAGTACCTGGATAGATGTAGGAATAATCAGGCCCGCCCATGCTCAGATCTACCAGGGAAAAAAATCATGAGTTCAGTGGAAAGAAGTTCCACTGAGAAGACCAAGTGCCCCATGGAACTCACAATTATGCATGCATATAGTCTGAAGCCTATCTTGAAGATCTGAAGTCAAAAAGAATGGAGCAACGAAAGAAGAGCAAAAAACCCCACCGTCAACTTATACGGCTGGACCCCGAGTCGAACGGGGACGTTCGGGTTATTGCCCACGGGAAGGAACGATAACAAAAACCCGATGCGCACTGTGCGCCTTCCTGCCTGCTAGATTCTTTCTTAGGGGGCGAAGAAAAATGAGGAGGAGCAGGAGGATCCGCGTTTCCACTGGTAAGCGGTACGTCGAACAGAGGGTAAACAGTGGATCGCGAAAACTCGAGTAAACCCAACGCGCGCCCTGCCCAATCCTGACGTCGTTCCCAGCTACTCGGACGAGGAGTTCGAGATGGTGAGACAGAGCAGCCGGCATTCCCCGGATGACCAATCACGTTTGAGCTCGACCACACTGCACAAAAACACGCTCTACTGTAGTCTCTCTTTGACAGACGCTTCGACGATGACGCTCCTGCAATTGGGCTACTGGTGCTGGCTGATTCGAATTTCTAGGACCGGGATACCACGGTTCAGCTGTATCACCGCGTCGCCGTCGCTTCTCCCCGTCTCCCTCCTTCCGCGTCTACCCTGCCGCACTACTACTGCATTCACTGACGGCATGAACAACCTGGACTCCGCCTTGTCTCTGACCCTCGTGGCGGAATTCACGCACCGCACATACGACGTCCGAATATCCGCCCGCGCGAATAACAAGGCGCGTATTGCGTAAAAGATCACAATAGTACTCCCAGACCCGGGCGCCGCATCTTCCTCCGTCAACGTGCACCGCGTCCGCCGTCATCACTGGTGTTCCCTCATTCGCCCGTGCGCAGTGCGCCACCGCAGCGCAGCCCGTGCCCACCGCGCCCACTGCCCTCGCCCCGTCTCCCACGCACACGCTACACGACGTCCGAACTATATCCGCCCGCGCGAGTAACAAGGCGCGCATTCAATCTTTTGGCACAGAGTTACAGGCATGCTAATCACAATACTCCCAGACCGTGCCGTCTAATACATGCCGCTGCGCCTCCGCCACCGCAGCGCCGTCTCTGGATCTCGAAGAACGCCGCTAGACCTGACGCGCGGTCCCTGTATGACCGCTGTCCTTAAATCTCGATATGCGTGGACGTCATAGCTCCATGCACTGGTACCCGCGCTCTGAAACCTTCGCTGCGTCCTGGCGCATTACCACGGCGCGGACGCGTATGTAGCCTGCCGGGCACGCCGCGCCCGCGAGTCCGATCTCACTGTCGCTGCCTGCACGCCTCTGCTGTCTTTGCGCATATCCACGGCGCGGGTGCGTAACCTGCTCGCCACACGCTCTCGCACCTCGCGCACACTGAGCCCGCAGGTCTGATTATTCTACTGTCGCTCCTCCGCTGTATCCCGGCGCCGGGCGACTTCGCCACGCTTTTATCGTCCCACGCCTGCACTCACCGCGCACGGGCGATGAAAGGCGCCGTGGTGGCTGTGGCACGGGCTGGGGGTGCGTGTGGAGCGAGATGTCCCATCCGCCGCCGGCGCGAAAGCCTTCGCTGTGTCCGGCCGCATCACCACGACGCGGGCGTGCAACTTGGGCGCACCGCGCCCGCCGCTGCAAGTCTGATCCCACTGTCGCTATATGCACGCCTGTGCTGTATCCGGACGCGGGGGATGCTTCTGCGCCACGCTTTTGTCGTCCCGCCCACGCACGCGGTGGAAGGCGCTATGGTGTCGCGGGTGGGTTGGGGAGTGCATACTGCCAGCGCCGCATCTTTCTCGTCCTCGCGTCCGCCGCCGGCGCTGTGGGGACCTTCGCTGTGGTCCTCCGTCGGTGTGCATCCCGTGCGCCGCCGGCGCCGGCGTGCACCGCATCCGCACAAGCCATGTATTAGTACTGGATATATGCACGAGAAAAATGAAGAGTCTTATCGGCCGTCAGCATACAAGTAGGGAAATCAATGGAGTGCGGAACTCACCCGCTGTGTTGGCCGAATATCCGCAAGCTTAGAAAAAAATTGCCTAAAACACATCATGGCAGGGCCCCGAGTCGAACGGGGACGTTCGGGTTACATGTAACACACACTCTGAGAGACCCCAAGGTAAGCCCGATGCGCACCCTACGCCTTCCTGCCTCTGATTGGGCTTTGGATATATGCATGTGAAAAAATGAACAAACCATGGTATAAAAAGGATACAATATGTATTTGACAATGTTAGCGACGTGCGTGTCGACAGGAAAAATTGGACATACATATTGCAAGCATGAACCTGGTATGAAACAGACTGCTTATCCAGTTTCGAGGCCTGCCAATCGGGCCAAAAACCCAACAAAAAGCTCGTAATCTTAATTATAATGGCAGTAGCCCGAGTCGAACGGGACGTTCGGATGTACTGTAACGAATACATAGCTGAACCCGATGCGCACCGTGCGCCTTCCAGCCTTATTTCTAGTATTCAGTACCTGGATAGACGCAGGAAGATTCACACCCGCCTGGTTTCGGATTAATATTCGCCAGTGTAAACAAGAATTATTGAGTCAAAAAACCAATGGAGCGTAGAACTCACCCGTTGCGTTCCGTCATGTGTAAAGTCTTTCCGTAAAAGCACTCATTGGTGGACGACTAGCATGCGTCCGAAAAAAATAAACATAAAGTCTACCTCCCCGAGAAATAATGACAGGACCTCCTCGTTCAACCCGAAGGACCCCGTTCGACTTGCGCGTCTCGCGCCATCCTGCCTTATGTCTTGTATTCAGTACCTGGATAGACGCAGGAGGATTCACCCCCACCTGGGTTCGGATTAATATTCACCAGTGTAAACAAGAAATATTGAGTCAAAAAAAAGCAATGGAGTGTGGAACTCACCCGTCGCGTCCCGTCATGTGTAAACTCTTTCCGTAAAAACAGAGTACATACAACTTTAGTAGCATAAGCACTCATGAATGCCTATTGATGGCGCGAATGCCTATTGCTTAGATGAATGCCTACTGCCAATTCAATTCCCCTTTAGGCAATGTACCTCACTTGCTCATTAGAAAGAGAGAAATTCACATGGGCTTTTCTTCATTTGTGGAAGGGGACCAACCATTCAATGCCCCTCCCCTCCCTTGCTGCACTTGGGGGGTCCCCTAAGCTGGGGCATTTCGGGTTGGCACGCTAAAGCCTGGTTCCACTTAAACAATGTCCATTAACCCTAACAACTGAACCCGAACCACCTAACCCGAACCCCAAACCTCTAACCTCTGACCCAAACACTAACCTATGCTTATACCCGCAGTTAGGGCGCGCTTCGCTTGCCCTAACTGCTTGAAAGTTGTATTTTTACGCTAATACAGAGATGATATGACATTTGATCCCATCACAGCAATTGAGGGATAGGCATTCGGTTGATGGGATAGGCATTCAGGCCATCAATAGGCATTCACGAATGCCTATGCTACTAAAGTTGTCGTGCCTCGTAAAAACACTCATTGGTGGACGACTAGTATGCCTCAGAAGAAAAATAAAAGTAAAAATCTGCGCTTCATTATGGCAGGACCCCGAGTCGAACGGGGACCTTCGGGTTACACTTTCGGAGAACGACGCATGTACACCCGGTGCGCACCGTGCGCCTTCCTGCCTTATTTCCAGTATTCAGTACCTGGATAGATGCAGGAAGAATCAGGCCCGCCTGGGCAAATTCGGATTTGTCAATGTAAAATATCACGAGTTCAGTGGGGAAAAAACTCAACCGAGCGTGGAATTGACCCGTCGCGCCCCAAGGAAAAGGAGGACTACCGTGAATATCGTGAAGCCTCTCTGGAAAAAGAAATCCGCGAACGAACAGCATGCGCCAGAAAATTAAAAATCACTGCGAACGATAATAGAAGGACAGGACCCCGAGTCGAACGGGGGCCTTCGGGCTATCGCCCATGAAGAGTACGTGCACATAGACCCAACGCGCACCGTGCGCCTTCCTGCCTTCCTCCTACCACCTAGGTCCTGGATAGACGCAGGCAAAATCATGCCGACCTGCGTTCAGATCTACTAGGGGAAAATATCACGAGTTCCGCTGGGAATACAAGTAAATAGAATTCACCATTTGCGCCGCAACTAGGCATGGAAGCATGCATATAGTCTGAAGCCTATCTTGACAGTATAAGGAGCAACGAAAGTAGAGCAAAAAAAGTGTTCAATCTCCGCAGAATGGCAGGACCCCGAGTCGAACGGGGACCTTCGGGTTGCTTTATGACATCTTCCTGCACAGAAGCCCAATGCGCACCATGCGCCTTCCTGCCTTATTTCCAGTATTCAGTACCTGGATATATGCACGAAGAAAATGAAGAGTCTTATCGGCCGTCAGCATACAAGTATGGAAAACAATTGAGCGCGAAACTCACCCGTTGCGTTGGCCAAATATCCGCAAGCTCAGAAAAGAATTGCTAGCAGGAGAAGGAGAATATAATATATATAAGTGTCAGCCTAAACACACGGTGTGGCAGGACCCCGAGTCGAACGGGGACCTTCGGGCTGCTTATCGAACCAAGCAACGCCAACAGAACCCAACGCGCACCGTGCGCCTTCCTGCCTTCCTCCTACCACCCAGGTCCTGGATAGATGCAGGCAAAATCACACCGACCTGCGTTCAGAGCTACCAGGGGAAAATATCACGAGTTCAGTGGAAAGAAGTTCCGTTGAGGATAAGAAGTATATAGAATCCACCATTTGCGCCGCAATGATGCAGGGAAGAATGCATATAGTCCGAAGCATATCTTGGAAGTATGAAGTCAAAAAGAACGGCGCAACGAAAGAAGAGCAAAAGTTGGTTCCGAAACCGGCTTGGCAGGACCCCGAGTACCTCCGGGCTATTAGGCGTTGAAAATAATCCTACACAAACCCGATGCGCACCGTGCCTTATTTCTAGTATTCAGTTCCTGGATAGATGTAGGAAGATTCAGGCCCGCCCGCGTTCAGATCTACCAGGGGAAAAAATCACGAGTTCAGTGGAAAGAACTACCACTGAGAAGAACGAGTGCCCTAATGGAACCCACCATTATGCAGGCATATAGTCTGAAACCTATCTTGAAGGTATGAAGCCAAAAAGAATGGAGCAACGAAAGAAGAGCAAAAAACCCCACTGTCATTTATGAACGGCTGGACCCCGAGTCGAACGGGGACGAAGGGGTTATCATTCACGAATTGGCGCACAAACACCCGATGCGCACCGTGCGCCTTCCTGCCTTCCACATACCTCACAGTTCATGGATATATGCAAGAAGAATCAGGCCCACCTGGGTTCGCATTTGCTGGTGTAAAAATCATGAGTCCAGGTGAGAAGTTGCACTGAGAAGAACAAGTGTCCCATGGAACTCACCAATATGCATGCATATAGTCCGAAACCCATCTTGGAGGTATGAAGTCAAGAAGAACGGCGCAACGAAAGAAGAGGAAAAAAGCATTCCTACCGCCGAATGGCAGGACCCCGAATCGAACGGGGACCTTCGGGTAAACACATGAGCCGAATCACCAATATATACCCGATGCGCGCCCTGCGCCTTCCTGCCTTATTTCCAGTATTCGGTACCTGGATATATGCACGAAGAAAATGGAGAGTCTTATCGGGCATCAAGATACAAGTAGGAATCAATGGAATGTGGAGCTGACCCGTTGCGTTGGCTGAATATCCGCAAGCTCAGGAAGAAATTGCCTGCAGGAGAAGGGGAATATAATATATATAAAAAGGCCCAGAAACACACGATATGACAGGACCCCGAGTCGAACGGGGACCTTCGAATTGCTTATTGAATCGAACGATTGCAACAGAACCCAACGCGCACCTTGCGTCTTCCTGCCTTACTCCTACCACCCAGGTCTGGATAAATGTAGGACAAATAAGGCCCGCCTGGGTTCGGATCTACGAGAGGAAAAATCGCGAGTTCAGTGGAAAGAAGTTCCGCTGGGGATACCAAGTAAATAGAACTCACCGTCTGCGCCGCAACGATGCATGTAGTCCGAAGAACGCCGCCATATAGTCCGAATTTCTAAATCTACATATCTTGAAGGTATGAAGTTAAAAAGAACGGTGCAACGAAAGAAGAGCAAAAAACTTCCACAATGGATTTCAACGGCTGGACCCCGAGTCGAACGGGGCCTTCGGGCTTTCGCATATGAAGCAAACCTACACAAACCCGATGCGCACCCTGCGCCTTCCTGCCTTATTTCTAGTATTCAGTACCTGGATAGATGCAGGCAAAATCACGCCTGGCCCGCCTGGGTTCGGATATGTTAGTGCAAAAATATCATGGAGTGCATGTAAAAAATTCCACTGAGAAGAACAAGTGCCCTAATGGGACTCACCATCATGCATGCATATAGTCTGAAGCCTATCTTGAAGGTATGAAGTCAAAAAGAATGGAACAACGAAAGAAGTGCTTAAAAAAATCTCTCCTTCGTCATCAGCGGCTGGACCCCGAGTCGAACGGGGACGTTCGGGTTACTGCGTGTGAGATGGAACACAAACCCGATGCGCACCGTGCGCCTTCCTGCCTATTTTCCCCTGTTAGATTCTTTAGGGGGCGAAGACAAAATGAGGAGGAGCAGGAGAATTCTGCGTTTCCACTGGTAAGCGGTATGTCGAACAAAGGGTAAACAGTGGGTCGCAAAGACTCGAGTAAACCCAACGCGCGCTCTGCCCAATCCTGGCGTCGTTCTCCCAGCTACTCGGATGGTGAGAGGGACCAGCCGGCATTCCCCGGATGACCAATCACTTGCTCGTGGAGCAACCTTGGCGCAACCAGTGCCAACCACACTGCACGACAGGCTTTAACGATGAAGCTCCTGCAATTGGGCTCTGCTGGTTCTGGCCGATTCCTTGCTTTCCTCCCGTTTCGAATTTCTGGGAGTCCGCGTCGCCGCTCCAGCTTTCCTTCGCTTCTCCCCGTCTCTCACCTTCCGCGTCTGCCCTGCCGCAATACTACTGCATTCACTGACGGCTCCCCGCTCTCCCTTTCGCCCTGTCTCGGACCCTCATGGCGGAATCCACGCACCGCACATACGACGTCCGAATATCCGCCCGCGTGAATAACAAGGCGCGTATTCAATTTTTCGGTACAGAGTTACAGGCATGCTAATCACAATACTCCCAGACCGTGCCGTCTAATACATACCGCTGCGCCTCCGTCACCGCGCAGCGCCGTCCCTGAATCCGGATGAACGCGACTGGCCTCGCCGCGCGGTCCCAGTATGACCGCTGTCCTTGAATCTCGATATGCGGGGTTTGAGGCGGGGGGGCGTCACACCTCCATGCACTAGTACCCGCGCTGTGAAACCTTCGCTGCGTCCGGGCGCGGACGCGTATGTAGCCTGCCCGCACCTCGCGTACACCGCGCGCGCGAGTCCGACCCCACTGTCGCTGTCTGCGCGCCTTTGCTGTGTCCTGGCGTATGTTCATGGCACGGCCTCCGCCATGCTTTTTTCGCCCCACGCCCTGCGCTCACCGTGCACGGGCGATGAAAGGCGCCGTGGTGTCTGTGGCACGGGTTGAGGGGTGCGTGTGGAGTGGGATGTCGCCCGCCCGCCGCCGGCGCCGGCGTGCACCGCATCCTCCCGTGTGCAGCGCGCCACCGTCGTGCGCAGCGCACCCGCTGCCCTCGCACGCCGAGTCTGATCCCACTGTCGCTGGCGGCGCGCAACGCCTTGGCTGTGCCAAGGCGCACCACCACGACCCGGGAGCGAGCCTGTCTGCCGTACGCTCCCGCACCCGCGAGTCCGATCCCACTGGCGCTGCCTGCGAGTCTGATCTCACTGGCGCCGCCTGCATGCTGTGTCCGAGCGCGGGGGATGTGCTCCTCCGCAATCCTTTCACTGCGCAATGTGGTGCGTGTGGAGCATCGTCCACCGTCATCGTGCACTGCGTCCGCCTCTGTCACCGCGTCCGGTCCCATCGTTCCGCCCCCTCGCCGTGTCCGAGCGCGGGGGATGTGCACCTCCGCCCTTTTGTCGCGCTGCCCACCACGTAACTTGCCCGCCGTATGCTCCTCCTTGGGCACACCGCACACTGCGCCCGCGCCCGCGACTCTTATCCCACTGTCGCTGCGCGCTCCGTCTCCACGCAGTGCCATGGCGCGGGGCCTCTTGGGCACACCGCGCGCGAGCGAAGCAGGGCGCCGTGGTGTCTGTGTCGCGAGTGGGGTTGGGAGCGCGTGTGGAGCGAGCGTCGTATCTTCCTCCGTCCGTCATTACGCCCATACACCGCTGCGCGTGCGACGCCCGATCGTGCGAAGAAGCCGAACTTCGTGGGGTGCTTGCGCATCAGATCGGCCGCGTGCTCGTTTCATTTCCCTTGTGGCTCGTACACCGCGGCCCGGCGACGAGGGGTGGGCGGGAGGCCGTGTCGGAGAAGTCGGGCGGGAGAAGCCGAACTTCGTGGGGTGCTTGCGCTTCAGATCCGGCGCGTGCTCGTTTCATTTCCCTTGTGGCTCGTACACCGCGGCCCGGCGACGAGGGGTGGGCGGGAGACCGTGTCGGAGGCGACGACGGGTAGGCGGACGTGGTGGGGAGTCAACCGCCACCGCCGAGGAGAGGGGTGTATATGTTTTGAATGGACGTGGGGTACGACGTTCGAGGGAGAGCGGGGGGGACGTGACATTCGAGGGAGGGCGAGGGGGACACGACGGTCGAGTGGGGACGGGCTCGACTTTCGCGCGGTGCGCGGGCGGCGGGTATGCGCATGATGATGTGAGATGTCGGCGTGCAGGCGTGGTCGTGTGAGACGGAGCGGGTGGTGCGGCGGGGACGCCGCATACTCAGTGCGAATGCGCGCGGGGGAGGGGGGGCGTGGGGTACGACTTTCGCGCGCGAGGTGTGCTCATTGTGGTGCGTGCGCGGCGGGTATGCGCATGATGATATGGGATGTGGGCGTGCGAGCGTGGCTATGGGCGATGTGGGAGTGTGGGCGGCGGAGTGGGTGCAACGTACCCCGTTCTGCTTCTGGGTGCGGCGGGGGGGTTGACTTCCGGTGCGCTCGATCTCGGCCCTTCACTATATCGCTGACAGCGTCTCTGAGCAGCTCTGCGTATCCATCGTTTATTAGTACCGCGTTTAGGGCGTACACCGTGAGGTGCGCTCAAGCCGCCCGTCTACGATTCCGCGCGTACCCACCAGGTGCATGCTCAATCGCGTGCGTTCGCTCTCGGTGCTGCTTTGGCTCTCCGAGCTACACTTTCGCCCCACACGCGCAGCACGGGATCGACACCTCGCATACTTCTCGTCCACCCACCGAGCAATTTGTCCTCCATTCATATTTTGTCGTCCATCCCCGCCTCCTTCCTCTACGCCATTTACTTAGCCATTCCTCCCTCTACTTCCGTTCTGTTCTTTCGCTTCGACCACCTCCGTCGTCAGTGCCCCTTCTCACCCCTTCGCCCCCCCGCTCCCGATCCCAGATCCTCGGCCCTTCCATCCCCGTCCTCCCTATTCTACGTGCCGCCGTCCTCACGAATCACTCCCCTCTTCGACCCCTTTCCCCTTCTTTCGTCTTGTCTCCTCCCGTGATCTCGAGATACGTCGCCCGCCTGCTCCTGGTACCCGT